GAGCCGGTACGATGTGGGAGACGCCATATCGGCGTATATAATTATATTACAGAGTATTTTTTTAATGGGACAGTATGGGGAAATCAGAAAACATAGAAGATACAAGGAAACTGTCTTAGGTTTTTTTGGAAAAACCATTTTGGCATAGTCAATTTAAGGTATGAATTTTTAAAAATTAAATTTTACCAATTTCTGCTGTCCCAATTTTTGTCTTCCGATACAATAAAGTCCTCCTTATAAGATAATGAGCTAGATAGAGTAAGATATGACTAAAAGCATTAAAAAAAATTGTCCATTTCACTCATTGACTTACAAATAAATGGACGACGGGTCTAATACAAAAACCACGAAAAAAATGTCCCAAGTCAACCTATTTAAACGTGTAAAGGAATATGAAAAAGCTAAAACGTTGAATTTAAATTGTAATGTCATCGCAGTACTGTCTAATTTTGCTTGCTTCGCTGTCAGTCGAACAAACGAAGACTAAAGCGTGAATGACGCTTTGTATACGATTTTAACGCCCTATAAGTTCGGACACTTTTTAGCGCGGACCCGACGTCCATATAATTGTAAGTCAATGATTTTACTCATTTGTGTAGGAAAAAATATTTCATGGAATTTTTTTTTACTTCTATTTTAGATGAAATAGACGACTACTCTCGTCTTCACGGTGCTCATTGGCCTTATGGTAGAGAGGTTTTCGTTAGCGATGATAAAACTCTCGCTATATGGATCAACGTTCATGATCACACGCGCGTGCCTGTTTCCACACCTACAGATGTTCCTGGAGAAATTGGCTTACCTTTCAGTAAATTCCATACAACGAATAATCCCTTCATGAAACAATCGATCAGCACTAAACAAATTTTGATCAATTTTATTCGTTTTTATGGACAACTTACGCTTGTCAAAAAATTGACCAAGCCAAATATATTTTCACAAACAAAGACTTAATGGTTCCTAAGACAGTTTCCTAGTATTTTCTATGGTTTCGGATTTCCTCATACTCTCGCATTTAAAAAAAAACACTACGTATACAAGAATCTTGTACGAATTGTGATTCATTCTTACTTCGACTTATAAGTCAGATGGGCATAACGTGTTGAAATAAGTTTCATAGAAGTGTATACAGTCCATTTGTATCCTAAGCTTCAATAAATTAAGATTACGAAGATTACGAGTTTCATTGAAGTAACCAACAAGCTGGTCCGTTTCGAGTTGGATACAGATCTTATAATATTTATTACAATAAACATATAGTCTGCCTTTTATGAAAACGGAATAAAATGACATTTGTAAAATTGTTAGTTTTCGCAAAATTTTCAATAGTCACGTAGTCGCTGTCGATAGTTTTTTTATGATACAAAATGATGGGACGAGCAAGTCGTGTGTGTGCTTTGTCAGAGCTTGAAGTCGCAAAGAACTGAGGGGCACTGCTCGTGACCCCTCAGACATAAGTTGACAAGTCCTATGTGCCTGTAATATCACCAGCACCCTTACCCTTCAAAACCGAACTGATTTACGGCAGAAATAGGAAAGATGGCAGTACTTTCCTGGACGAAAGTCTCGTGTGGAAGTTCACAAGAACCTCTACTGCTACTATATATGACGTCCATAATTGGACGTAGTAAAGCAAAAAGAATCCAATCCATAAAATTATCAAAATATGAATTATATGTACCAAACGGTTCCTAAACCTCTTAGATCAGCAAAAAATATCCAACATATAAACGTAAATAAATATCTCTGTGGAGTTACATATTATAAGTTTTGAAAACAAAACAAGAGTGAGAAAGACTTTTAAATTTCAAACTGCCATATCTCGAAAGTGACTGGATGTGAATTGGATCCTTTTTGTTTAACTACACATAACTGTAAATAGCATAAGAAACTTGATATAAATTGTGCAACGTATAAACTAGATACTATATGGTAGGTGCGGGAATTCCCGAACCCGCACGAAAATTCTTCGGAAGATGCGCGACCTGTTTCTTGACTAGTTTGTACATTATACAATTCACAGAACGTTCATATATACATGGTATGGTATGGGGTATGGTGTAACGGGCTGTTGTCCACAACTAGACGACCAAGCGCCTATTTTGCGTGTAAATAAACAAATAGATAATGATGGCAGTATTTGAACTAAATAAAACTAAACTAAATAAAAATTACACATACGTCGGTATCTGTAATTTTTATTTAGTTTGCTACGTTCGTAAGAACCACTTACAGCCCTGTTGTGGTTAAATAGTTTACGCATTACTGGATCAATAAGGTACGTCATACACGAGAATAATCGATTGTTTGTGTTATCAACACAATGGCATATCGATGAACAAACATGTGATGTTAGAATAATAATAATTTCCAAGTTGCAACGACTATAACACAATAGTTCTGTGAAGTTATGGCTAGACAATCGCTTGCACATGCAGAGCGTTTTAACATTTCAGAGGCTCATAGGTTAGCGTTAGGTATATTTACCTTGACCATCGAGTATATAACCAGAAATAGAGACGAAATAAGGGTCGGGCCATCCATCCCTGGCAACTCATAAGGTAAATAAATGGGCCTTATACCACTTTTAAATATCAACTCTCGTTTGCGCCGAAATCACCAATTAGATTGATTTGATTGTGTGTACGTCGTACGTACTCCGTATATTCCAAAAATATTCTGTATTTATTGTAATAAGGATAACACCTATAAACATTGGGTGCTGTTCTATTCTTTGGTGTGGGAACAACAGCAAAACATCTAATTACAAAACGGTATCGCATTTCATCGGTAATTAAATATTAAATATGTAATTTTTCAGTATTCGTCCATTATAGCAAAGCTCAAGTTAAACTGGTCGCTTTAAAGCGAAACAATTGACGACACCCGTTAATTGTTTCGAATTCGGCCTGGCTAATAATGTCATAGTAATGATATGGATATTAAATGACGTTTGTTCTCTATTTCTGGTTGTATACTCCATGTCAATACATTACGTTTTATTTTTATATGGAGAACGCATAAGTATGGTGCGTTTTCTACGAAACTGGTAAAGCATCTTGTTACAGAGAAGTTGAGAAAAACTAGAACCAATACACTGATTTCACTTAAATTCTGTACCGCTAGCGTTAGGTTTGTTAGCGGTAGGTCTAGAGTTAGATTTATTTACTTTCTTTATGTAAAATAGACGCAAGCTTGGTAATCTCATCTCATATGTGGCCATAGCATGAATAGAATAAGAATAATATTTTTTATAATTTTTTTTTAATGCGAATACTGAATCGGTAAGATCTAGAGTCATTCGTTCTTTCGTTTATAAGGTTAATGAACTATTGTTATACATTTTGAAGAACAAGGATAACGATATGAAATTGCGTATATAGCTCTATCTTTGTCGTTTAATCATGGCCGCGAACACAATTATCCAAAAAATGCCGGTTTTTGTAGTTTCAGTTTTTACATATTCGTTATTATTTACGTGTTTCTAATTATTCTCATGTATTGAACTGCATTAAAAATGTACTCCTCACCTTTTTCCAATATCAATTTGCTTATTTTTATTATTCCTTTTTATCTCGTTTGTCGCGCTCAAATTTTACATTGATAAAATTACTGTGCAGAACTCTCAAAATGTTTTAAAATCAGCTGTGACGCGACAAAAATATGACGTCATGGTGCTCGCCATGTTAGAGCTATTGTGATAAAATTTTAAAGTGCCGGTTTTTCACTCGACTGTGACAGTTAAATATAGGTATAGGTATAATAGCTTTATGCGGCGCATGCAACGAGAGCTAATATTATCAAGTATTCTTACAACTTCTAGATCGCAAGTAGAGGGAAACGTAGGGAGGAGGTAGACTGTTTTAGTAGCAGTAGAGCTCCCTGTGAAAGAATTCGTCCAGAGAAGTATTGCTACCACACCTATTTCTGCCGCCAAGCAGTAATGTAAGCATTACTGCGTTCCGGTTTTAAAGAGTAAGGGTGCTGGTGAAATTATAAGCACATGGGACTTGTCAACTTTCGTCTCTGGATGACAGAAGCAGTGGCAAAGTCCCTCAGATCTTATCGATTTAAAGCTCTGAGTGGCACTGCAACTGTTACGGACAGGAGTGTAGCTTACCATCAGGCGCACGACTTGAATCGCACCGTACAAACAATGCAGAGGTGACCTCGTAACAAACTCGATTTTTTTTTTCGAAGTAACGTTTGTTCGAATTTTCATTACACCGAAAATCGAATAATAACGAAATCGTTGTTCTTTCAGGATATGTTGGATGTTTATCGCAAAGTCACGATTAGGTTCGGTTAGATTAGTCAGATTTAAAAGTTTAAGTTTCGAGAGTTATGAAAATTCGATCAAACGTATTTTCTGGAAAATGTCATTTCGGACTACTGATAGGTAACCAGGTCCAGGTTAGAACCATTCGAAAAACCATGTTCCGGTCATCTGAGTTCGCTACCTATTTAGACTTCCAGATCGCTCATGGCTATTCATGATCCGGAGGAACACTCTCAAAAGGCGGTACTCTTTCGCGGGTTCACTACCTAGTGGTACATTTAACAAAGTTTTTCGAGCTCCTCAGCGTTCAGCATCCTAGCGCAATCACACGAACTCTTCGACGACGCCCTAATATCTTATTGTCTAAAACCACTAGTTTGCCCGATATTCTGTTTAAGTAAATAAAAAATTGATTGATTGGGACAAGTTTACATGGAAAGACGCCGCTGAATTACGAACGCGCAAACACGTTTATTCGGCCGAAAAATGTCTCTATGCAAAAATGATTTTTACTTAAGTCTCTCGTGGGAAAAGAAACATATCGTAGTAAGCACTTGTGATAATCGTTTGTTTAACACCTAGTAGCGGTCAATGGACATTGAGCGCGAATAATTCAGCTGCGTATTTTCAGCTATGTCCCTTCCCCAAATCGGCTGAAAAGGCAAAGGGTACAATACAAAATGACATGTAAAAACAAAGTAAAATGCAGCATCAGTTTTACCTAGATTACCAACCCAGCATTTAGCGGCCTCGAAATCGGGCGTGTGTATCACGAACTCGCGATGCTTCGGGTCGTACGTCGCCGTCGTGCGCATGAGTCGCGCATCCGACCCGTGCGCGATTTCTGTCAGCGCGAAACTTGCTAGTATCTGTTGACAATGTGGATTATTTTTTAAACAATATATTAAAATTTCGAAACTTCATTGCGCAAACTAATTTTTTTAATAATTCATTGAATTGAACAGCAATTTATTTTTATAAAGCAATTAATTGCCATTGACAAGTAAATTAATGGGAGTTCTTTTCCGATTCACAGCTGCGTATATTTTTTCTTTTTTTTTTAACAAACGACTATGGCCACGCCTAACTATGAGACCTGTATAGAATCCAGTGTTGTTGCGAATATCAGCATTCGTATCCGCGGGTAATCAGTATAAATTAAAATATCAGCATCCGCATTTATCGATGCTGATACTAATTGCGAATGCAGAAAAAGCAGTTTAGCTGTTGTTTTTAAAATATGACTGTGATAAAATTCCAGAACAATTAAACTAGGCAGATTGTCACAAAATCATTGAAATAATGTTTTATTGCAATACCAAAGAAAATAGAGGGCTTTTTCATGTAGACAGATTCAGTAAGGACGTACATGTTCCCGTTTTTTTAAATACATAAAATCAACATCAGCTGATATTAAGGTCCAAAATCAGGATGAGCATCCGCTGTTGTGTGAATAATCCGCATCAGTAACAACACCTATAGAAACCTAAGTACTCGATAAGTAAACGCATGATGATAGGAATGTTTGTTGAATGTAATAGGGGTTAAAGTATGAAATTGCCGATTTGTACTGAAAATCTAAATTGTTTATTTTTTAAATTTTTAACAAATTTATTTAAACAAAATAGTTGCCATTATTATCTATATATTGCTGCCATCTAATGGGAAGGTTATTAATGCCTTTGCGATAGAACTCCGACGATCTAGACTGCACAAACTGTGTGAAAGCATTTTGTACTGCCTCCTGGGAAGAAAACTTCTTGTCACGTAGATAATTGTTCAAATCACGAAAAAAATGGTAGTCCGTTGGAGCAAGGTCTGGTGAATACGGAGGATGACGAATGGTTTCTAACTGCAGTTCCTGAAGGGTCAAAATGGTTTCTCGTGCTGTGTGAGGTCTCGCGTTGTCGTGGAGCAATAATGGTGAAGATCGATTCATGAGTCGGGGCTGTTTTCCTGCTAGTTTTGTCAACATGGTTCGGAGTTCGGCACAATAGACATCTGCCGTTATTGCTTGACCAGATCGGAGAAAACTATAGTGAATAACACCATGCTGAGACCACCAAACAGTTACCATTACCTTTTTATTGGTAAGTTTTGCTTTAGGACACTGTTGTGGCATTTGACCTGGGGTCAGCCATTGCATTTTTCTTTTCCGGTTATCATAAAGAATCCACTTTTCATCACATGTTACAATTCGATCCAATATTCCTTCATTTCTGTACCGGTTCAACAAGGCAACACAAGTTTCAACACGCGTTTCTTTCTGCAGATCAGTCAAATCATGAGGCACCCATTTTTCGTATTTTTTTATTTTATTGATTTGACGCAAGTGAGTCAATATTGTGGGTAAGGTAACGTTAAACCATGCCGATAATTCCTGGGTAGTTTGACTAGGATCTGCTTCCACTATCTCTCTTAATTCATCGTTATTCACCTGTGTGGGCGGTCTTCCTCGTGACTCGTTCTTTAAGTCGAAATTTCCATCACGAAAGCGTTTAAACCAAAATCGCACGGTGCGTTCATTAGTAGACCCCTCTCCAAACGCAGCATTGATATTGCGGGCTGTTTCTGCCGCGTTAGTTCCGCGTCGGAACTCGTATTCAAAAATCACTCGAATTTTCGCAGTATCCATCTTTCTTGTCTAAATTGAATAACAAAAACAATTGAAAGTCGATATTCAAATGTTTCAAATAAAAAAAAAAAATCACAGAAACCATTTGAAAAAAGTTTCATTCGAAAACCTCAAACCATGAAGATTCTATGAAAATTCAAAGAACCTATTGCAATAAAACGGCAATTTCATACTTTAACCCCTAATATTACGAAGTATTGAGAATTTAAATGTATCTGTGGCCACATTGACATAACCGCTATATCGATTTTACGATGCACAAGACCTAGCTCGCGGTGGATCTCGACCTTGCAGACGGGTCTTAAGATTCAATCTGCAGGGTTAACACGACAGGGCGCGACAAGCGCGAGAGCGACATAAAGCGCGATATAATATGTCGCTCTCGAACAAGTCGCACCCTTTCGTGTTAGCCCTGCTGAAAAATTTACGCGTATACATTGTAATGATGACGTACAAATGCAAAGTCAACTCAAAGAACCATTTATTCCGCAGGTAAAATAAATTACATTTGAAAACGTCATTTTTTAAGCTACTGTGCTCTCTTCCATCAGAAGAACGAGCAAAAAACTCTGGATTGCTCTTTGTACAGTGTGGATGAGTTTCTTTTGAAACAATTTTAATTTTATTTTATTCGACAAGCAGTAGTTATACTACTTTATTTTATATTCATTATTATTATTATAGTTTTATTACTGACGATCATACTTATCCCTTGACATTGTATTTCCAATTGTAATATTGTGACATTGATAACATGAAATAAAGGATTCTATTCTATTCTATTCTTTTCAAATAAACTTAAATGCTTTGGAATACACTTTGAATCAAATTTGTATGAAATCTGGACCTATGTTGTACATACATCTTTATCTAACAAGTAGTCATAAATTTTGTAATATAACTTTTCAATTAAAATGAATGAATGAATGAATGAAATTTTATTTATTTCTCAATCACAAAACAGGCTTAAGAGTAAGGAACTTAAGGTTAAAATACAAGACTAAAAATTGGTCAGACTGTTTTGTGAGAGACTGGTGCCCGAGATAGGTATAGAAAAACCTGAATTACGGGTCACCAGGCTTCCACTCTGCAGTTGAGCAATTTGGTTGTGGCACAGAGGTTGTGACAAAGGATAAAATATATAAAAGTTAGTGGAATATTCCTGATTTAGAATAATAAAGGTACTAGTGAATTAAACTTAGTATTTAAAAGAACCCTCTCAAGGTTTACCACTAAGTAAAATACTTCTAATGTAAATTTTAAACTTCGGAATTTTATTGTAAAAACGTTTACCTTTGTTAAACGTAATCGTGGTATTATGACTTTAGATTACTTCATATTACGTTAATATTACGGACGTCTTTTTTCTTAATGAAATTATGGCCCGAAAATATTTAGGACTTTCTGAGGTTTTCGGAAGGTTATCGGGAAATATGTTAATGTCATCATTGCGTCGTCCTACCAAGCAGTTGAACCCGGGACCTGTTCATCCAATGCCCACAGTACAAACCTTGGGCGACCGAAGTCGTAGGATAATTTATCATTTATATCACTTACCTCCCGTTTAGAAATGGTCGCTTCGTAGAACTTGAGATGCCGCTCTGTACCCAACGAGAGTAGCGCGTTTGAGAACAAATATATTCCGATGGCCATTTTCACTGACACGCTCGGGTTCAGCGATTGTACTGCTTCATTTATTGTCATGAGGGCTCTTGTCTGTTGATCAAGGAATGATTTTCATCATCATTATATTGTCTCATTATACATCAACTCATTACACTCTCTCTCTTTCGCTGACGTCGCTAGCTCAGCAAGCCACCGTTTCGCACTAAACATTCACAAATGTACCGTAACTTAGTAATTAATACGTTCAGACAGGGATCAAAATGATTTCCATAAGTCTGTGGGCGCAGCCCTAAACATCATCCAAACTATTCATACAAAACTCACTCTCTCTTGTGACGCGCTCCGCAGCGAGCAACATACCGAGCACGAGTCTACTCCAAAAATTTGATTATTTTTGAGAGTGATTTTAGCGGCATTGTTAACTTTAGTACTGTCTCTCAAGGCGGCGTGAATTTCGTGCTCAACCTAACCTAACGTAACAATGTGAGTCAAAGGTGTAATCTTCTACAAAAAAGTGTCATAGTAATGGCTACGAAGGTCTACACAAACTTCCACGTGAAATTAGGAATTGCAATGATAGTGTAGAATTTAAGAAATTATTATCTAATAAACTGAATGATATGACATTCTAGAATATTGAAGATAAAATTTACAGTTTTTATTAGTATTAAGTTGCGTTAATTGGACTGAATGATTATAGTACATTACAATTTATTTCATTTGAGAATTACTAAAACTAAGAAAACTTTGTATATCACAAGGCGGATCACTGTGATTCAAAATTCGTTCAAGTAAGTACTTTATAACCTGTGTATCACGAAGAAAAAATAATTTAAAGGTTGCATAACGCCACAGAAATTCGAACTATCGACGTCTCAATTAAAAAGCAACCATTATCGATTTTATAAGTTTCATATTAAGGTTGCTTATATGACATTCAAGTAGTCACACAATACACCAGAAGGGCAAGCACGACAGGGCGGAACTGCCGCGAGAGCGACATGACATAAAGCGAGAGATCTCTATGCGAGAAAAGAAGTATGTCGCGCTTTATGGGTCGTAACACAAAACGCACGACCCATCGCGCATTCCTGCGATGTTAATCCTCTTTGTTTTTTTTCCTATATTTTCTTATCAATAACAGTAGTGCAACTCTTTTTTTAAGATCCAGGATCCCTGTCGCTACGTAGTTTAAAAAATACGTTCTGTATATGGTTGACGATCGTCGACGGAATGATCACCCGAACCGTGGCAGTGAGACGCTTTGCCGCACGAAACACCATCGCAGCAATTCGAGTCGCAATTTTGTGCGTTGCAAATTCGCATCGCCCCCATTCGCAGTTTTGTGTTTCGACCCCATGTCGCTCTTACGCAAGTCACGGCCTGTTGTACTAGCCCTATTAACACTTTATGAACATTTCTCATTCTAATACATACCCTTTTACTATAAGTGGATTTAAACATTTCATCTGTTAGAAATTTGTAAGAGTTGACCCTTTTCAGCTGCAGCTGGGTGATCCGCTTCTGTTCCTCCACTACTGGCGTCACGAGGTTGTGTGCGAATAGCGGATCCTTCTCCAGCGTACGCCATACTTTGTACTGAAACACATAACTTTATTTAGTACTTGTTTATTATTGTAATGATTGATTTGACTTAGGGAGTCAACACACGGAGCGGGTGAAGCCGGTTAGTAAAACTTTATATCCGTGTAATAGGACTCATTGTCACTGCATCGCCGCGTCCTGGGGGAAAAGCCGACACTCGGGGCGGTCTCGCAAAGCCCGAGAAAAGTTTCGAAAACTATCTATGAGAAATAAAATTTTTTCAGAAAAATAAATATTTATCCGGATATTTTTATAATACTTTTCCTATAATTTTCCACGTTTACCGATGAACCTGTCAAAAGTTGAAATTACTGAACGAAAACGATGGAGCCAAATAAAAAAGTTTCTTCGCTGTTGTGAAATATTTTTGAATCTCGTTTTTCTCTATGTAACTTTTAGCTATACAAGTTTATTTTATAATTAACGCTAAATAAAACTTTAAAAGATATAAACGTAGAACATAATTTGCGCCTTCGAAATTATGTATATTTTACCAAATTTTCAAATTTTTCCGGAAAATTTCCAGTAACATTTGAATTTTCTCGGAGAATTACCCAACAGTAGTCTCGAATGAATTAACCAAATTACCAAAAAATCATCGAGGCTCGAAATTCTCGAGACCGTGATTACCGGGATAGACGGCCCACCGTGTAATAAAAGCGAATAAGGCGTGGTACGTTTCGCGTCCGTAGTTGTTCAAGTAGAAGCAAATTTTGCATAAAACTTTTCCTGACCGGCTCAAGCTGATTTGCGATATTTAGTATGGTATCTACCAACTACCTACCTACTTGACTACCTTATTAATAATTGATTGACCACTGATATATTTTATTATATCTGTAAAGGCTATTAATACAGTTCAATAAGATTATAATTAATTAATATTGTTTCGATTTAATAGTATTTTTAATACCTTGTTTAGTCCACGAGGCTTTGCCGAGTAACGGTAAGCAAGTGTAAGTAAAGGTAGGAGATTTGAAGACCTAATTATATAAATGATTGCATACAATACTTTTTCGACGAGTAAATAAAATTATTAAATAGAACCAATATTTAATGTATATTTGTTAACAATCCATGACAACCATTGACTTTTTGTAATTATTATTATTAATTTATTTCTGGCCATGGAGACAAAGTCCTTCAGCCGAAAACATAAAAATAAGTTTTTCTGTAAATATGGCCGCCACAAAGAGGATAGGCAATTTGAGGCGGCGTGCTTGGATTGACTCGGGATTCCTTAGAACGGGCCGATACGGGTAGTTTAGTTCGAGATTCGTATAATTTCGCGTTTTAATCTTTAATTAAGGCACAATAGCACTATCCTATTCCACTTTAAACTAGATTTCACAAAATAATTGAAAGTCAAAATAAAAACGACACTTTTTCCCTCCAAAAGGTTCAGAGCGAATCCATTGACTTTTTGTAAGTCAATGATGACAACAAACGCATTTTTCTTTAATACATTTTTACCCATTTATTAGGGTAGGCAAAGGTTCCACCATACAGCCTCTTCATATATATTAGGCAAAAGCCATAAAAGCCAAATAAACGCTACAAAACCAAAAACCAAAGAGATAAAACAGAATTATAAAGAGTTCTTAGGTTTTCGCGATTGTTACAAAACAAAACGACGTTTCGGGTCGTTTACAGGTCCCATGCGATTTAAATCCGGAAAAATAGTTTCATTTCCTATAAGAATTATAAAGATTTATGGTCCGATTGCGAGACTTTTAGGCAATTAACACACTGCACCGCGCCCCGCGACGGCGCGCGGAGCTGCGTTTTTTAACGTTGTACTAAAGTACCTCAGTTTGTATGGAAAACACGCGCCGTCGAACACACTGACAACGTTTCTCTGCGCGGGAACGCGGCGCGCACGGTTTTACCGCGTCCCAGCGCCGAAGGGCGCGGCGAACCGCAGGGTATGGCACACTGCGTTCCGCAATACCGCACAACTTTTTAATCAATCTCTGTCTATTCCATTAATTGTCGTTCGGATTTTCCCCAAACAAATAATCAAAAGATTCAGTTGACATACGTGTGTAGTTGAAAAATTAATCTTCATATTTTCTTAAATTTTGTAATGAAGTTGAATGTTATCTTCGGTGTCATTTTATTTGAGTAACCAAAAACCAAATAAATTTTATAATAATAAATAAATAAGTTATACTGATAACTGCAGCGTCCTGAATGAGTAATGTATTTTTAACCATTCTTGTCAAAGAAGGATCTCAAGTACGTGTAAATCACTACAGCGATCAACTATCAAGCGAGGACTTTAAGTGGCGCGGGGCCGCTAGACCGCTGCCCCCGCACAGATTGAACCGCGCGTTGACGCGTCCCGCTCATCGTCGCGGGGCGCGGTGCAGTGTATTAATCGCCTTAGGCCAATTGAACGAATCAGGAGGCAGTATAGCGTTTGATATTTTAATTTGCAATAATACATTCTTTTTTTGAAACTCATTATAATTTTGTGTACAGTACTCTAATACTCATTAGCGTTCTGTGTACAAAACTTTCATGAAATTTTTTAGCTCAGTGGCGAGTGCCGTAGACAATGAAATTTTGATTCAGAAAACTAAAAAGAGCGCCTTTATAATACTGTTTATGAAATTATAATTGACAGAATAAAGTACGGGCACAGTAATAGGAAAAAACATTATTCTCTTTAAAATTGTTTTTACTTCTAACTTAATTGTTGCCGGTAAAGTACAATGTTTTTTATAGCAATATTCCTCGAAAATACTTTTCTTGTTAAACATACGCAATTTAACATTGATTTTTTATGTATATTAGGTAGTTATTTACTCTGTTAATGCGGCTCTATTAGCTTAACCTTTGACTTGGTAACATTTACAATATATCGTCATTTCAAATAAAAACTACAATTACTTTATTTGTATTGCAATAGAAAAAAAACAATATAATATATTACAAGGATATATGCAGATCTTTTAATAATTAATCAATAAAAATGAACGTGCTATAAAATGAAATTGGTCTATAAATCAGCTAGAGCTATGGACTACAAAGCTCTGGATGATGTTCTGCCATAATCCGTAACAATTAAGGACGCGCTACAAATTAACCAAAGATATTAAAATATTTGAAAACCACATCTAGTACAAATCGAAAAAAATCAGCAACACGCAATTGCTTATCAATTATACATTACGTACGTTTCACTTTTTTTTCCGGATCTTTGTTCATTATTGAAAGTGTCAGCCTCATTAGAAAAACAATAAATAAAAAAAACACTAAACAGTGTTCAAACAGATAAATCTAAAACTCTATCAACCAAACATGTATACAAAATGTTCTCGGCTTTACTCCTTGGCTCAGACTAAAGTTTATTCAAATAAAATAAGATTTCGGGCTCTCTTCAGGTTCCATCGTTACAACTGACTTTTTTGGGTGTATATTTTAAAATATTTGAATGAGACGAGGAGCAAGAATAGGCTATAATAACACCATTACTTTTTTTTAAATATTTTTTACAAGACCTTTAAAAAACTATTGTCTTGTGACGGGGCGAAAAAGTCGTGCGTCTTGTGGTAAGAGACACGCCTGTCTATAACAGTTAGTGTCACTCAAAGAAAAATTACTACTGTGCCCGTCGCCCTAAGACATAAAGGTAATAAGTCCAGTGCTTGTAGTTTCACCTGCACCCTAACTTGGCGGCAGAATTAGGTATTACCGAATTCTAAGGGAATATATACTCGCGGACACATAAATCGAGCCACCTTGCATTATTATTCTTAAAAAGCAGAACACAAAAATATTGTGGGAGTGTATTATACTCTACAGGAGCTGTGTTTCGAGCTTAATTTCAAATTTTCTAAAATAAAAAACGTAATAAAATGTACGGTGTTGGACATGAAACTATCGTTTTCGGATATTGTTTTAGTAGCAGTAGAGCTCCTTGTGAAAGAGTACGTCTGGGGAAGTACTGCTACCTTACCTATTTCTGCCGCCAAGCAGTAATGTCAGCGTTACTGTGTTTGTACTGTACCGGTTTTGAAGGGTAAGGGTGCTGGTGAAATTACAGGCACATGGGACTTGTCAACTTACGTCTCAGGGTGACTGGCGCAGTGGCAGTGCCCTTCAAATCTTTGTGACTTAAAGCTCCGAGTGGCACTGCAACTGCTAAGGACAGGCCTTGTTCGTCCCGTCACTTAATATAAAAAAAAAAGATCGCGTATATTTCTTTATTCAAACAAACCAACATTTCGGTCTATTCATAGGTCCCATGGTCAAGGCTGACAGAGATAGTATTAAGTATCAACCTGTTATGTCTAATAATAATCCAAACCACCCTATTCATACTATAGTTTTTAAAAATTATTAATACAAATAACTTATTCTGTGCAGTGTTGTTAGCTAAATTAATATCATTTCCACCAATGCGTTATTACACATTTTAGGGAAGCACCACATTTATGTACATGGAATAGTATTAAGCTGGTAAAAAAAACTGTAAGCGGAAACTCTTATTGCATGGAATAAAGATCTTTCTGACCGGCTCAAGCCGATAAGTGTGGTTACTCCTTTATCATAAACAGATGACATAACAATAATTTGATAATAGCGACCTTGCGCAGAGGCCAAGGCCATCTGCTAATACAGAAATTCCGCAATAGATAGATATGACATTTTTGGGCATGTTTGAAACAGGTTTTTAAAGATTTTTAACTTTATTTTATAATTTATGAATCTGCTAAACAAATTTGTAATTTTCACAGTTGTTATGTGGCTGTATGTAGATAGTGTTCGATCGTGGAAATATGTAAATACAAAAATATGTTTTACAGAAAAACTAAAATATTTATGTGAATATTTTTTCTGAATTCTGAAAAGTATTTTTGCAACAAATCTAACATCCGTATATACGTGATATGGTAAAGATTTATGGGACGCTTCTATATCTATTATAGAATATTAAAATAAATAGACTCTTCATTGCTACTATATAAATCATTGTTAGGTATGAC